TTCATACAGTATACAAGAGAGTCCCATATATACAGCTCACCGCAGGGAAACAGAAAGGATAAGGGATAAAAGAAAAATCTCATTCATCCCCTCACGAAAAGGAAATGGAAAGAGAAGCAACTTAGGCATTAAGAATTCACCATAGCTGTCACAGTGATGAGCCAATAACAACCCAACATCAAGAATCATCTTCCCCAGCGCCTTAAAAGCTGCATAGTGAATATAAAGATTCAGCAACCACTAAGTCCAACTGAAGCTTGTTAACTGGGTATGATTTCGTGTGTTAGTAACTTAGTACGATATTGAATATATCATATAGAATCTATTTATTAAAACAATTTGATGGAAAACTACAAATGCAATATTGAGTACGGAGTATATTATAATCTATTTTTTATATGGAGTATTTATAATTTTATTAAATTCACGGGTCGGTTGAGGTCCACTTGTTACTAAATATTTGGAGCCGGCCCGACTTGTTTTGCTTAAGGGCCCACCCCTAACTCGCCCCGAACCTTGTGGTTCGATTTGACCCGCGGTTCTAAGACACATTAGCCCACCTCTACAAGTGAGTACTGACGCTCTATCAATCAAATCAAATGTGGTAAAAAATCAATTTGCAATCTAATATCAAGCAAATTCATGTTTGAAATAGACAACAAAAGTGGAATGCTAAAACTCAAATGTTGAATTTATAGATAAAATATACCAATCTCAAATTCTGGCAGACTGGTATGAGGCCATATATTTGGTCCACAATAGGATGGATATCTAGGAAGGACAAAGAGGAAAAAACTATTTAGAACAGGGAAAAAAATCATAATCTTTAGCAATGCCCCAATATGAAAAACTCAGCCCTATCCTATTTATAGGACATCATTTTAACTATCACACAAACCAATGGTATAATTAAGATCATTTAAAATAATATTAATTTTTTCTATGCCCTCTTTCTATTGTACTTTTTTATTCACAACAAACTCATTAACAATTAAGGCTCTTCATTTAATAGGGACAACAATGGGAAAATAGAATAAATATGCATTGATAATTTTAAAATGACTTATATTAAGGACCATCCTAAGTGTCCTATAAATAGGATACGTGGGAATATATAAAGACAGAAACTCAAAAATTATGGGTATATATTTTATAAATTTGTTGCAGTAAAGTTAATCAGAGAGCTGACTGAGTGACTATGTAAGCATATGCTGAAATGTGAAGACAAGTTCTTAACCGTTTAACAAGGGATGGATCAGTTGTTGGCACATCTAGCACTGGATTTGCATAAAAGGATCCTTTCAGTGTATCTGCACAATAAACAATAAGCAGATGCAACAAAGTTTAATGCAGCATTGATTTCACCCAACCAAAACATCTTTTGAAAGACAGTAAACACTAGTCATGATACGTGTCTAGCAAAAACCAGGTTAAAGTGTTGAGCATAACTTCACTCGCATATCAATTTATTGAAATTGGCCATAACATCAGGCATGAGTGCATGTGTCTGTGAGTGTGTATGTGTAACAGACTAATGAAATAATATTTGAAAATGAAAATCATTATTTCATCCCAGCATGTGTATATCTTTAAATTTGATATATGAACAAGCTGAAACAATTATAAAAATTCATGTCACTTCATATATTTTATTATAGAAGAGATCAGATGTCCTCTTTTTATTGAGACATGAATCCTAGTTCATTCAAATTCTATGACAACTGATCACCCTGGAGATTCTTCTATCTCATTTGCGAGTTGCATAAGTGTTGAAAATTGTTAGAATCACATAATGGTATTGACATGTATAGGGATCTGAAATTTGATTGTGATACATAAAGTCTCTAGACAGCAGGACATAAAGTCCTCCAGAACAGGAATTAATCGGTCATTTAGAGAACCAAACTTCGGTGATAATGGTGGGGGCAGAGTAGCAGACTGTGTTCCTGGTTATTATACCACTGTTGGAGTTATCTTTCACTGTTCCTGGGTTCGTTCCGGTCTTTGAGTGCACCACCACAGCCAGGAGAGTGACCAACACAATAAGCCCTCATGCCTACCTCACAGACTCTTTACATGTCTGATCACAACGAGGAGACAAACAAAAAAGAACAGAGAATAATGTTCACTCTCCATTTTTTCAGACACACAATACTAAGAGAGACACTCAGGAACACACTCACAAGCCACTATGGTTCTTCACTCGCCTTAAACACGTAGGCACAAAGGCTTTTATAAAATCTTACCCCACAAAGGGAATTTAAGTAGCAAGAGATTAGGGTAACACAGCTCCTAAGAGATAGGTTTATCACACAAGGGAGGTTGGGTTGGGCTATAAAAATGGGTCAAGCTAATTTGACCAACAGATTTTAACAGCATGTAAACCAACTCACATGCATTTTCTAGACTACTCTTTCCCAACAATTACAATAAAAGCCATGTATACCTGGCTTTCCAGATTCAAGTCTCTCTTTTCCGTGACTCCATCCAAAGTTATACCTGATATTGGTCCCATGGCCATAACAGACCCAAAATTAAAGGGTCAATTAAAGACAAAATAATCCTCAAGCATATATTGCAAGGACCATAGAGGCAGCCATTTCATTATAGATGGAAGCCAAAAGAACTCATTCAAAGACTAGTAAGTACAGAGCAATGAACCAAAGTAAGAAAAATGATAAAAGGATTGACACAGGATAAGTTTTTTTTACCTACTATCAGGATCTTCCAGCTCCTGTTTAACACTTTCAGGGAGGTTGGCTAATCTGATAGGAGATTAGGAGAACAATTCTAACAACTCAAACCTTTATATCGAGCCAGTGCATACATATATCTGTTGTGTAGATCCTCTAAACAAATAATATATGGGGTAGAAATATACTCCGTAGTAAAAACTACTCAGTATCATATATTTTTTCTTACCTATGTGAAAGAAGAAGTAGATTTCTACGCAGTAAAGTATACTCAGGAACCTACAAACAAAAATCAAGAGGGATGATGAAGCAAGGTACGTATAATGAGCCGATATCATGGTGATAGTATAGCTTCAATAATCAAAGTGTGATGTTACTATTACAACTTCAAATGTAAAGAAGTTAACTATGGCATTAGATAACCAAAACAGTTCCCTTTAAAATACTACCTGTAGTATAATAGAGAGTGTACAAGATTAGCAAATGTATTATGTGAAACTTATTCCTTACGTCTGAAACTGAGAGTATACCAAGGCCGTTCGGCCCAAATCCTTCTTCAATTTTAGCGGACAAGTCAGAATTTTTATCCTGGATCAATCAATTCATCAATCAACTAACGAATAATGAAGAAATACCCCTTCGAAGGGTTCACAAGGAAATAAAGGTACACAACATGATCTCGCGAATTCAAACTCTGAAAATGGAAAAAACAATTTCAAAAACACAGCGCTTCTAGTTTCGAAAAACAATGCAAGCTCTCTAGTAAGAATCCGACTTCTCAAAACAAAAAAGCACGCCTTGCAGAGAAAAGTCACCTTGAGCTCGCTATAGGATATGGTAACCGTACGAGACGTGATCGCCGGAGCTTGGGAGGAGCAAAACGCCATTATATCGCCGCGGTGTTCTCCGGTGCGACGACGGCGACAGAAACTGAGAAAAGAACGCGGGAAAATTGGTGTGCTGAGAAATGGAAGGAGAATGTGGCGGAGGAGAGACGATAAGAGAACAGTCCATTTATTTATTCCGTTTATTCCTCTTTTAAAATTTGTTCTTCGAATCAATTTGAGTTGGGTTAGAAATTCTGTCCGGCCGCCTTTTGGCTCCGAAAGTTCATATAGGATAGGGATTATAGAGTATACTCTTATTTAAAAACCAAAAATGTCTGGTTTCTATAGCAATTGTGCAAAAATTGGAGATGCGTCAAAATATATTAGGGACTCTTTTTTATGTTCAGTTTTAAACCAAGACATGAAATCCAATCAAAGGTAAACATTGGGTTTAGTTTGTTCAATTTTGCATTGTGAAACACGAAGTAGTATTTGAGTCATTGATTAATCGATTCGAGCTTAAAATGAAACAACTCTATAAAATATATTGTAAAAAAACATAAACAAAATTAAACATGTAAATATGAGTAAAACTTGTTTGCTGAAATATAAGAAACATAAAAATATTTCTTGCAAACATGTTAAATATCAATTACTCGTACAAAGTATTAATTCGAATAGTATTAGGTTATTAGTGTTTATATTTTTAGAATTTTTTTATTTTTATTGTTTACATTCATAGTATTAATTATTACGAGGCAAACGAGCATTAATATAGTAATAGTTGAGGCAAATTCTTATAGATCCAGATTAAAATAAAATAAAGTGACATAATATTAGAAATTTAGTCTCTTTGATTTGGTTTAATTTTCTAGAATAAAACCCAAAACCAAACAATAATTGATTCAATTCAGATGTACCATTTGTTTTTTTAATAATGTAGTTCAATTAATCTCAATTTAGTTTGCGATTTTCAAAACCCATCCCTTCAATGAATTACAACTTAGAAGAGTTTTGATTGACAGAACATCCCTTTTTTTATGCAATGTCTAATAGTATTACTGATTAACTTTATCATCATGAAAATGAAATCTAAAGGCACCATTTAGCTTTAATGTTTTTTAAATTTAATCTACACATTTAAAAAGTTATCAAAAACACTAACACTAAGGGTCCGTTTGGTACAAGGAATCGGTGGAATTGGAATTGAAATTCCATGGGATTCAATTCCATAGAATTGAATTCTGTCAATTTCAATTCATTTTTTGCACTATCAATTCCAAATCCACATAATTTTTGTGCTACCAAACACCAGAATTGGAATTGGAGTTCCTAATTCCAATTCCATAGTTTGAATTCCATGTACCAAACGGGACCTAATGGAAAATTTGGTTACCGAACAAGGCTGCAATGGACAATCAATTAAACCACGTATGTGATGGTGCAAAGCCAACACGTGAAACAATCTATTTGGTCGGTCAAACGACGGTGTAGTTTACTTGTATTGGAACCAGTGTAGGTTGGTTCAACTTTATGTTTGAGCAAGAAAATGGTAGGTAATGATTTGTGTACAGAAATCAGAGAAAACAACGTTAGGAGACATAGCCATGTTGTTGTAGCCAGCTAACACTCCTCTTTCTAGCATGCAGGGAATAATACACTAGATTCATAAGATTAAATCCTTGGGGGAAATGAGTCAAATGACCAAACATCATTTGATTATGTTTTACAGAACACCAAAAGTCAGTGGCTAAATTGGAACAGCCAATGGTTATTTCGTGCCGGCACGTGAGGGGTGCTTCCCTTCCCTATCGGTTACTGGTAGGAACAAAAGAGATGGATGCCCTAGTGCAAACCTTATACATTCAGGTCACCTGTTTCTGGACTCAGGGGCTCAAAAACAGCCTCCACCTCACTGAGCTTGACCTCCTCCAAGTTTGATGGTTTCCATTTTGGGTTCTGTGAATATAAAGAGCGAGTAAGATGGCCTTTTGTTTATTTTTTTGTGATTAACCACTGGGTTGAAGAAAGTGGTATGTGTAAAAAATAATATGTTCATAAATAATTCGTGTTTGTTTTAAGTGCTGAATGACAAGCTAAAGAATTGTTTAATGTGGAAAGAGTTGCTTGAGGTGTTTAATGTGGAAAAAGGTGTCCTTAGTGAATGACAGGGAGGGAAAAGCCCACCTACATACTGCTTACTGCAGTAGCAACCATTAAGAGGAGAAAAAGAGGTAAACAAACAATGCCAGCGAGCCCCTAGCGAACTGAACAAATACTATGTCCCCTAAAAATATCAAGTTTCAAAAACTTTATGTCCCAAAAGAAGTCCGGTTTTAAAATGCAACTTCTATTTTCAATTGAAATTCTTGTAAAGCCAAGTGGCAAGCAATTTTAGTCAACTCCTCCTAACAAACTTCAAAAAAAGTTTTAGGAGTGTAAGTATTGCAAAAAACTTGTGCCATGATTGAGTTGACTAAACATGACTCTTTTGGGAACTTAGAGGGTAGAAAATGAATGAATCAAGGAGTTGTTAAGAGTTGTTATATGTAGTAAAAATGCAAGATTCTGAGCAGTGTTGGACAACCAATTTAAAAAATGGAGCTAAAATGTGTAGATATAGTGCAAAATATAGGTTATAGTCTTATGTTTGAAGTTTCTACAGACGTGTAATTACAAAAAACAGACCTGATCCTTGTCCAACAAAACAGCACGGACACCTTCAATGAAATCATCTCGTAGAGCAGATCTCAATGCAATGCGATACTCAGTTTTCATCACCCCAGTCAGCTGAGCAAAGGAAATTGGTAGTCATTTAGTTCAGGTTGTAGAACTCATTTCAAATATGCAATGTTGGATATGATACAAAGGTGCAAAGACAAACTTCCATCACCTTTGATAAGATATTGGTGTGGTTTCCACGAGCAGATGCAACTTTGGCGAAAAACTTTTGAGTTAGAGTGAGAGAAAAGGGAGCACCCTTTCTGAGCCCTTGCAATGCATCCTTGGCCCACTCAGCCACTGTTTGGAATTCAATGATGTAGATACATCGCAAATTACACAATTATATGTAAATTTAATCCTAGGAAACTGTGGATGAACCTTCTTAGTACAGGAAAATGTACCTAAGGTATCAGCACTCTCCTGATGAGTTTCTAGCTCCTTCATTATCTCATTGATAGCCGTGTTGCCACCAAATGTTGAAATTATTCTAGGTAAAATTGACTTCAAGCGGGGTTCTGAATCAGGGGTGGAACTGTATTTTCCCAATACTTTCTGAATATCATGGTCTGGATCCTCAGAACTAGCAATAAGTGAGATGGTCAAGAACAAAGCTATATTTGAGGCAAATCTTGAAGTAACACTTAATACATGCCATTTAAAAAACAAGACAAAAAACATTGCAAAACCCAATCTATACGGGTCTGTTTGGGTTATAGAAAAATCCTAGGGAAAGAGAATAGGGGAAAAAGTTGAGGAAGAATAGAAAATTGGTTCAAACTCAACAAACATGTTTTGGAGAAATTTGTTCAACCTCAATTTTATTTTTATATTTCTATTGTATAAAGATTAAGAAATATAAATGTATGTTAACTTTATTAAAATCGTAATCAAAATATCAAATTTGATTTTCCTTTGTGTTTTCTTAGGTAAAACAATATTTTTCTTAACCTTTTTTCCTTTCCCTACCATTTTCACATTCCAAACATATGTCATGGCTTTTCATTTGACACCCACACAATGTTGAGTAAAAAAAGGACTAGACTCCATAGTCAAGTTGCGGGACAATAGACAATATGTAGGCAACCTGTATCTCAAACAACACAGATATATAAATATGCAAGCCAAATATGGCATGGCTATGACTAACTTCAGAATAGTTAACATGAGGAAAGCTTGACAAAAAACTCAGAATTTAAAGAACATACAAGGTGACATCCAAGAGATTTTCCTTCATTGCATTCAAATTCGAAGATGGGACAAAGTGTGTTCCCAGACCAACATACAATGCATCAGCGGGTGTCGATATTCTGTTGCCAGTCAATCCAAGATAAGCACCTGCAACAAATAAATAACTTCAGTAAAGCCTTAACCATAAAAATGATATCAAACATATTTAAATATATATTGCGAAATGAAAGAACAATTCCTCTGATGAAGGTTGCCAGATAAATGACATCCGGCGTACAACATTGCCAGTTTGCCATGATGATTTTTACATGAATTTATAGTGTTAATGGGTACTATAAAGTTAATGCCACCAACCCCAGCTAGCTGGGATTAAGATGCTGTTAGTGATGATGAATGGAAAATGAAAGAATGCCATATGAATAGCAGCAATCCAAGACAAGACAAGATACTAATAAAACTCACCGACTACCCCTTCTCCTGGAGTATGAGCAGCTATATAAGCAAAGCCGACATCAGGAAACAGGCCAATTCCATTTTCTGGCATGGCAAGAACAGTCCTCTGGAACAAATCAATTTGAATGAAAGCGAATGTTGGAAAATAAAAAGCAAAAACCAAAGAAATCGTCACAAAAAATGAAGAAATACCTCAGTTACTACTCTGTAGCGACCGTGACCTGATAATCCAATGCCAAATCCCATCGTTATGCCATCCATGAAGCTAATATAAGGCTTCTTGTACTCAAATATCTTACATATCAAAGAATACTCTGCTGAGAAAACCTGTTACATTGTTGGGTTGGAAAAGCACTAAACACGCATTAAGACTTGCATGACTAAATAAATCTGATCACTTAACTTAAACTTTTTTCTCTCATTGGTTAATAACATCCATTGAAATTGTAGACATGAAGAAAAGCACAGCAATATATGGAACCTAAAGAATACTACTAGGCAATATAAAGTCACGGGTGCATCCGAAGTAAGCAGAGTCATTTCACTTCCAACATAGATTTTTTTAATTATTTCCATAAACAAAATGACTTCCGAGTAAAACATCATCTCTTAAATGCATTTCCAGAAGAGCTACTTTGAAGTTTGAATATTATTATTTGACTACATGTAATCGAATTGTTTTTGGTGTTAGCTATTGTCATGCTGCTATATGGAAATTGACACAGTGAAAATACATTTCAAGACCTCAATCATATCAGATAGTTGCTTTTTGGTTGTAATCTGCTTGATATCACCACCTGCAGGTAAAACGACACACACCACTTCTATGATCCATGAGCTAATGTTCATTGAAGTGTAACAAAAATGTCCTCAAAATAAAATGATATGAATATATGACATCAATTCATGCTGCTAGGCTACAGTCTATGCATGCCACTAACTCGCATGACCACAACACAATGAGAGTTCAGCCAAAAACAACCATAGAATGGTTAATGGACATTTGTAGGACAAATCTCAAGATTCCACGAAAACCTTTTGCACAAGAGAAGTGGTTTTGTCCTTTTGGATTTCGGCAACAACGCCCTTAATATCCATTCCTGCATTGGCAATGAATGGTTACCCTCTAAATCTGACGGCCCAAAGATAATACTAGCACAAAAGTGCTCATAGAACAAATGCAAAGATACAATTCTGCATACATATTTATATGCCCGTAAAAGAATAGAACAAATTGAGACAATGACAAAATCATAGATAGCTAAAGGGTTTTAGGCAAGTCATTTAACCTGCACAAAAGGCACGCGGGGTGCTGCCCTCAATTAAGACACATTTCACCTTTGGGTCCGATTCCCATTCATCCAAAAAGCTCTTGTACCTTATATCCATGTCTGCACCATATTCAAGCATAAGTAATGCAATAACAACTTGAAATGACTCCTTACCCAGTCACATTGAAAATCTAATTTTGCGAAGCATCAATAGATTCAAGCACCAAGACACTGCTCAAAACACTTGGGGTCTGTTTGGAAACAACATTTTTCCATTAGTACTATAGTACTTTACAAAGTTGGCTAATGCCAAATGAACACTGAATCAGATAGTATTGAAGTTTTCGGTGTAAGCTCGGCTGAACTGTACAGCTATCACTGCTACTGGATAATGGGGAGACTAAAAGTATTGACACAGACCAAAGAATCTCAAATCGAGATTGTCAACAATACCAATCAGGGAATGACCTACTTCTAATCCACGGACAATACCTAAAAAAAAGCAGTAGTGTATATAAGGCAATACCTAAATTCATGGCGTTGAGAGCTTTGGGACGATCGAGGGTGATGACGGCGACGCCATTCGGGTGGACATTTCCTCTGACGAATTCATCGGAGCTGCCGGAAGCCATGACCGCCAAGGTCCGGATAGGTGGAAACGGCGGCGTATTAGAGAATATGGTTCGGATGAGACTAGCAGCTCCGCCTCCAAACAAAAGCCTTTGCGTCATTGTTTTTGTTTATGTAGTGAGCTAATGTAGGCCGTTCAAGCCAGTCCCTGCATCAGACAGATAAGTCATACACTCATTAGTCATTATTAAGGTGGTGATTTAGTAAATATGCACCCTTATTATACATGATTTTAAACTTTAAGTCGTTGCTCTCGTGATTCTAATATTTCTAAAATACAATTCAAATCTCAAATTAATAGTTCCGATGTCCCTTATGGTTCTGAAAATGGACATCAACGCCTCTTCTCCTTTTTTTCTTTATTACATTTCATATTTATTTTCTTTTTTCATAAAGAGAAGAAAAATGTATGTTTTTGAAATAATGAAAAGATTTTTTCAATACTACTGTATTTTTTTAAAACTGTTTTAAACAATGAAAATTATTTGTGTTTGAAATAAAAAATGAAATAAAAATATTAAAATATATTTCATTCGTCTCAAATTAAATATTTTCATTTTTCACGAAAAAAGCGTTCTTTTTCTTTGATATGATGGGACCAAAAGAATACGGAGTAAGATTTTCTTAATATTTAGTTAATAATTATTTTGACCGATGCACAACAGATAGATTTCTTTCATGACTTAATTTTTCCTATTATATAAAAGTATTTTTGATATACTTTCCTTTTTCCTACGTCGTTATCCCTCATGATTCTGATATTGTCACGCTAATGCCCCTTTAGACAAAAATATCCTTCAAATATTAGATAAATATCTTTGCTGCCCCTAGTGGTTTAGGAAATGGGTGCCAACGCCTCCTCTCTTTTTCCTCTATTGTTTCTCTTTTTTCTTTTCTTTTTTTCATAAAGAGAAGAAAAACATTTGTGAAATAATGAAAAATTATTTTTTCAAACCTATGTTTTTAAAAAAGGTTTAAAAAATAAAATAATGTGTGTTTGAAATAAAAAACAGAAATAAAATATTTAACATATACTTCATTTGTCAAATTAAATATTTTCATTTTTTGTCTAAAAAAGTTCCAGTCTTTTTGAATATGTCGGGACTAAAAGAATACAGAGGAGCGTCTTTTTAATATATATTTAATTATATATTAATAATAGTTTTGGGACCAATGCGCAAAAGATTTCTTTCATGACCTAATTTTTCCTATTCTATAAAAGTATTTTTTTATATACTTATGTTTTATTTTATTTTCTATTCTTTTCTCTTTAATTTTTATTTTGATTAAAATAAAAGGAACGGTAAAAAATTAATGTATAGAAAATGAGAAATGAGCTTTAGTAAAAAAGAGAATATTTTATTGATTTTTGTATCATGAAAATGAACCAATAAAAACCTCTTTTGGATAAAAAATGAATATGTTTAATTTGAGACAAATGAAGTATACGTTAATTCTTGTTATTTAATTGATTTTTATTGCAAACATAAAAAAATTGATTATTAAAATATTATAAAAAAATAATTTTAAAAAAGAAATTTAAAAAAATATTTATGAAAAAAGTAGTAGAATAAAAAAACAATAAAGAAAGGGGGGGGGGGGTTGTTTGTGCCCATTTTCCAAACTATTGGAGACAATGGAGATGTTCACATAATATTTGAAAAATATTTTGATCTAGAAGGGACATTGGCCTAACAAGAAGGAACAATGTAAGTTTTACTGATCCAACTTGATGTATTTCTAGTTTTGAATCAGAGTGAACTAGAATTTTTTTGATATTAAAGTTATAAACCTAAACTTGGAGTTGTAAATGAATCGAACCAAATACTAATTGTTCATATTTGTTTTATATTATTTTTTGTACGAATTTGAATATGGAATGAATATTAAATAAAATTTGTATTTGATTAATATTCAAATAGTTATCAAATTCTAAACGAATACTCGAATAGTCTAAATTTGCATGATGGATGATGGATCAACATCACTTTTGAACTCTTTAACTTGCATTATTTCTTAGATTATACTCCCTTTGTCCTGGAGTATTCGTCCAACATTCTTTCTTCGATATTTTTTTAATGATGCAGATTGATTTCAAAGATGCTAAAATTAAATACAACATTAGATTACCTATTTAAAATGGTAAAGTTGTTTCAAAACAAGCACCAAAGCACATAAACTGTGTTTACACTTTCATTCCAGAGGCAACCACAACACCGTAACAACAATAAACTCAATATATATTTAACGGTACAAGAGTACCGTAGTACTGTCGTGAGCATGGCTTAATGTAAACAACAGACTTACAAATGCTACCACAAAGCATAGCTTTTAGGCTTAACCGGTTCTTGAACAGATCTACCAAGTAATTAGGATGAAGACATACAAACTAGCATAAGGATGGATGTTATACACTAGGGAGACGTTAATTTGAGATATAATGACAAATGCTAAGTACACATGACATGGTAACAGCCTTACCTTTAAAATTGATAGAAAGAGAAGGCGGCGTTGAGAGGTCTCTCATTCTAGCTCCACCAATATAAGCAAATATCCTTTTAGTTGGCTGTGTACAATAATCTCTCAGTTTTATAGGGGTCTTGCTCGTTGTTCTTCCAATCATGCCTAGCAGAGAAGGAAAAGAAAAGGATAGAGCGAGTGTTATATTACTTAGATATATTGATTGTATTGATGAGGGAACATGATTAAGAAAACGGAGAATGTGTGCCTAAGACAAGTAAGATTTACTTTGAGAGAGAAATTTTATTAAACATGTTTAAAAGGAAATGATTGATAATTTTGAGATTGACGAACAAAAGTTGGGAAGATTTAAGGACATGGAGTAATACTTTAAATTACGTGAGTTTTGACTTGTGGCCTCATTATTATTTTTTAAGACTTACAATGTTTATCATCATCATTATCACCTTGTTCCTAACTAGTTAGGGTCACTGGCATCAAATCATAAATGTATGGTGTTAATTATCATAAAGAATTGACTAAAACTAATTACATGGGAAAAACACTGCCAATGTTTTACAGCAGATGCCCTTCATGTTGTAACCTTCATGGAAGTATATTTATCACCATTAAATAATAATTACTCATTAGTTGCTTCTTATAATGTGACCCAAAGAAACACATTAGAAAAATCCTTCTACAATTACCTGTGTAGGACTCATCGTATGAGGAACATTAACTAAGCGCTCCATTGTTTGCAGCTGGTCATAAGGAGCAATCTGCAGAATACGAACACCACCAGAATATACAGAACTTTTTCAACCGTTGAATACTTGAATGGCATAAATGAAATGATGATCTTTTCCAATACACACACACACACACAACAATATATATCCTTATAAAGTCTGACCACCTGGCTAAATCCATCAGACCAGGATATTGTTACAGCATAGTTACCCATGGGTCTGATTTCTTCAGGCTCAATGTCCTCTGCTACATCAGAATTCTGGAACTTCTGCTCGCCGGTCCACTTATCCTGTTCCAATCACAATTGAGAAGCCATATAAGAGAGTAATAAAAAGGAACAAAAGATCTATTCAAGTAAAATTACCAGAAAGAAAACAACTAAGACCGATTTTCAGTTTTGATGACAGATTCTATTGTTCACCAAATGCGTGCAATGCTTTTGTTGAGGTGGATGGGTGGTCATACGAGGCTGGATAAAATCGCGAATGAGGTTATTCAGGGAAGTGTGAGAGCAGTACCTGTGGAGGATAAGCTATGAGAAGCTAGGTTGTGGTGGTTTGGGAACGTAAGGGTAAGTGCAAAGGCTCTGGTGAAGAGATGCGAGAGGCTTGCGATAGTGGGCGTGAGTAGGGGTAGAAGAAGACCTAGGAAGAGTTGGAAGGAAGTGATTAGACATGACTTAAGGCTTCAGGATCTTATCGAGGATATGGTCTTAGATAGGAACAAGGAAAGCTAAGATTAGAGTAATATGGTAGACCTTTGGGCCTTAGTCTATAACTTATGCTTATGTTCTTTCTGTGTTTTCTGTGCTTAAGGTCTATTTGCTGGTGTCGGTATGTGCTTCTTGTGTTTGTGCACTTTGCCTGTGCTACTGTGTTTACATTGTCACTACTTCTGTGTTTGAGCCGGAGGTCTCTTGGAAATAGCATTTCTACTTCCCAAGTAGGGGTAAGTTTTGCGCGCACACACCCTCCCTAGAGTCTACTCTTGCAAGATTTTACTTGGGTTGTTGTTGCTATTGTTATTGTTGTTGTTGCATGCATATACTACACTTCATCACTTGATTTCTCAACTTGAAAAAACAAGTCTACCATAAGCCATTGTTTGGTTGGAGTACTTTGATGGGGAGGGTAGGAAAGTGCGGGAGTGGTGTGAAGGAGAAGTGGACTTCTCCAAACTCATATCTCATCCCCCCCACCCATTTTCATTAGCATAATCATTATCATACAAGACATTGAATGATATCATAATATGACAATGAATGTCAATGTCAAGAGAACCAAAGTGATCATACATATACATTACTATACTCCCTCCGTCCAAAATTAAAGTTCCCACTTTCCTTTTCGGTCCGTCCACAAATAATGTTCCCATTTCCTTTTTTAGTAAGTTTTACAGGGTTAAAAGACAAAACTACCCTCCTCCATTACATTTCTTTTTCTTTTTCCTTTTTTCTTCCTTCCCGCCTCGTCAGCCACCCTCCCCACTCTTCCTCCTCTTTCCTTCTTTTTCTTTCTTTTCTTCCTCTCAATTCCGTCTTCTTGTTTTCTTCTTCTTCTTCTTCTTTTCTTGTTTTCTTCTTCTTCTTCTTCTTCTTCTTCTTCTTCTTCTTCTTCTTCATCATCATCATCATCATCATCTTCTTCTTCTTTGTCCTTCCATCTTCTTCTTCTTATTTCTTCTTCATTTTTTTCTTGTTTTTCTTCCTTCTTCTTTCATCAATTAAAAGAAGAAATTTTTTTTCAGATCTGGTTGCATCTTTGTCGGATCTAGATTTGGAGGAACAATTTTTTTTATTTTTTTCCAGATCTATGGTGGGATGTTGATTTTCTTCCCTAACGAGAAGTCTAAAAATAGATCTTTGAAGGCGGGGGCTTGTGACGGCGAGAGAAGCAAGTTGTGACGGCGAGAGGGATGCTTGGGGCTGCGACGGCTGGGCGCTGCGATGCCTGGAGCTTTCGACGGCGGGGATGCGAAAGCATCATCGACGGCGGTGCAGAAGCGGCGGCGGC